CAACAGTATAAAACTGAATAAGAAATCTGACTACAAAAACTTGCAGCAGTTAAAAGAAATAAACACCCGGAAACTGGGGACGGCGGTAGCACAGCTTACCGCACGTGTACAAAAAAGGGAAAACCTCCAAAAAACACGGTAAATAAAAATTACAAAAGAAACAAAACATGGATCGCTCCTCCTTCCGCTGCTTCTTCTCCACCAAGGCACTATGTTCCCCCTCGTTCATCCGTACCCTTAGAATTTTTTGAATACCGTGCCATTGGTTATGGTATAATAATAAAGTTTCGATTGAATCCTTTCAAATAAATTTATATTAAACTGGTTGCTTTACATTTTTTAGAATTTTTTTTCCATGGCCGCTCTGTACGAGAGACGTTTTAATTCATACTGTATGTTATTTCAAAAACAGGAAATAGAAGATGTATACAGCCTGTTATTGAAAGGTACGTACAAAATAAAATCGGCAATTGGTCTCGAAGTATGGGTGCTAAAAGTTAAAAAAAAAGTTCAGGTAAAAGTGTTATCCTTTTAGAGATAAAAATTATTAAAATTTATGTCCAAATTTGTTGTACGCCTCTGATAAAAAGATCATCTTTCGTTTCTACAGCAACATTTAGTCTTGACAAAGGTTTTATTGTTACAGTTGCTAGGATTTACTAAAATTAATTAATATTACCTATTTATCCTTCAGTAGCGTCTAAAAAGATTGGATAAGGGTTCATTTTCCCCTTAAAATTTTGATAAGACAAAATAAGTTTTTCTGACTTCTTAGACTTCGCGAAGAACTGTCTATTTTGTTGTACGTACCTTTCAATAACACCCTGTATATATGCAGGTAAAAATAATTCAAAATATCCCGTCGAAGTTTCTTTATAGGTTCAATTTTGATGTTACAGTAAGTATAAGGAATTCACGTTCGGTAGATGTAACTAGATTTGGTAACTTTTTTTTTTAAGCTGTGTAACTGCGGACATAATTGTTCTAGTGTATAATGTATTACTGGAATGTCAGAAAGTAGCTATCAAAAATGTGACATGTAAGTAAGTAAAGGTCAAATATCGAAAATGTGATGGTTTTGTGGTAATCTGGTGAATCTATTTTTGAACCAAGGAGAAAATCGCATCCCTCTAAAAGCCCAAAGAGCAACCCGCATGTAAAATTTTGAATCTTTTCCCTTCACTAGTTTTTTTAGGAGGACAAGCTTTGATGTCATCATCATGGATCCACAATTTCACCATGGATCCGTTCTGGTATATCCATGTCTCATTCAAGAAAATGAAAAGTAAATCTTCACCACAATCACGCAATTGGAGATAGGTACCGCCTTAGAAATTTGATTCTGGCAGCTATAACGTGTTTAAAATGTGAAAAACTTCGCCTTCGGAAACCTAAATTTATACGTGTATTATGTACAATTATTTTCAAAGCCAAGTGTTTTACCTCTTACAAAACAATAACGATTATATAAAACTTAAAAACCAATTGTAGAACGGAACCAACAAAGCATGTAGGTATATAAATCTGCGCAGTCGTCTTTCTGATTCTGATTATAACATTAACGGCACAAGCGCCGCTGTATCTGTATTATTTTAAAATTCGAAAAACACTCGACAACACTAGCGAACTTTACGGAGAATATTTCTGCCACCAGTTTAACTGTTTCCGTTTTACCCAATTTTTTGAAAACCACGAAATATTTCTTGTTTCTTTTCCTTTAAAATGAGCTTTCTCGTGATTACTTTTATGGAAACTGTTTCCACGCTGTATTTAAGGATTTTCTAGAAACGAAGCGTGTTCAAATTAGAAAAACTTCGTTTTTTTCCACACAATTCAGATTTGACATTTGAATTAGAAAATTAGACAGTTGATGCCAATCTTAAATTTCTAGTGATCTCAAGATTGCAACTTAACCACAGAAAAGTTTCTCTCAGTTACTTCTACCGAACGTGAATGCTTATTAAGTAATGTACAGGACTTTTATAAATGATTCTAAGGGCCATGGATTTCAAAAATCCCACTTCGCTGAAATTATGCCTCACTATGACAGTTCCCACTTGTCATTAATGTGATTTGTAACCTGTCATTTAAAGTCATCCTTTTTATTGTTTTAACGTTTTTCAAGCGTGAATTACAGTCATTTTCGTTGATCGAAGCTCAAACAATAAAACAGTCGTTTTCAAAACTCAACTCAAAAAAATTTGTTTTTGTGTTAAAAGCGAACACCGTGAAAGTGGTTTATTTTGTTGAACACGACGTTTTTATTGTTGTCTTGTTATCGCAATGGGACATTCGTAAACGAAGAGTGGGTGTTTTCTGTAACTGCTTGTAAGCAAGAATATCTGGCCAAATACCGTGATTTAATAATTCAAGAAACATCGTTAGAAGCTCACATTAGAGATGTAAATCAACAGATGTGTTGAAAGTGGCAGTGTCAACAAAGGGAAGTCTCCTGGAAGACCTGCAGTATCTGAGGAAGTTATTAATAATTTGAGACGACTTGAACAGAATTCGCGAATATTTTCGACAAGATTTCCTGAGCACCATGAAGTTGAACAATGAGCATTGACGAAAGGATTACAGAACATTTTTGAAATGGAAAAGAGAGTGAACATGTGCCTTGAACAAAATGGTGAACATTTTCAACATTTGCTGTGACGTTAAACCGCAATAAATTTGTTTCTTTTTATTGTAATGAATTAGTTTTACTTTTTAATAAGATATGAAACATTTAGACAACCAGTTATACAGATGCGTATGGTATTTGTCATGCGTCCTTGGGCATTTAGTAGAGTTCAAATATGAGAGGCGGCACGTAGTCATGACCTACTTCGACCCTAGAATTATTTATAGAAACCCTGTATAAGCTTGGAAGTTCACTCTGTAAGCACGTGACCACTCAGTAAACGGTGTATAAGAAAAGACCACTACTTAAAAAGTGCACAAAATTTACGCTGTTTTCAGGAACGACGGACCTTGAATCTGCCTCACTCGCGCTAAAGATCAGGCTGGGATTTATTACAAGAAATGACAAGAGTAATTTTGAACACGGAACGTTTCGTTGCACGATAAAGTAGAACTTGAAAGTATTTGAAGCAAATTACTAGAACTTCGGTACCCTCCCTTCCCGAGTGATTTTTATTGTTCGAAAAGTGGATGCAAATTTTGAAAGTTCCAGCTTTTGTATTAATCACTACCCTAGAAAGCAGTTATATTTTTCCAGTTTGGGACGTCTAATCCCACAGGTACATGAATCTTACAAGCATAAAAATAAGCCAGCGAATTCCATTAGTAATTAACCGAAAAACTTAAGTTTTGCAAAATAAGTTTTGCTGAAATATATTACTACAGTATGTATTGATATTGATACATACGTATGTACTATTTAGTAATAGTAACCATATGTATGGTATAGTTACCATACATATGGTTAAATTTTATTTGATGAAATTGATTTTATTGAAAGTTATATTTTTCGAGATTTTTCGGTCTTATAATAGTTTGAAAACTGAAAACAACTCGGTGTTTTTATATTTTCCTAGTAAAATGGGTACAAGTAATTGACGCGTCACACCAAAGGGTGTGGAAAAAGATTATATTTTGTAAAAAAGTTAACTGGCAAAAATTGGGTTTTACAAATTACACAAAACATTTCCCAAAGTTGTTTTCTTTCTTCTTGTTAAGTAAAGTTTGAAAGCAAATTTCAAAACCATAAAGTGAATATTTATAGACTTTAGTTTAACAGTCTTATTCTTCAGAGAAATGCGAAACGCAATTCACAGAAAAATACATCTCAAAGTCGTTAAAATGATATTTGGGGAGCTTATGTATCATGATTTCATAACAAATTCTGTTCTACTGTGTTAATCATCTCTTTGTGGAGATGAACCAGGTATAATAATCCCAACAGGTCAGGTAAACAATCCGAGTGGAAAAACAAAACAATACTTTTGAGTTGAAAGCAATTGGAAAAGTAATTGAATTCCCCAGGGAAAGTAATTCATTACAGTAATGAATTATTTGTAATTGATTTACTTCCGACCTCTGCTAAAAACTGATGTTTTTATGATAAATCGCTGGAATAAACTATTATTTATAAGTACATATTTCTTTCTCTGGTGAACGTACTATGTTACAAATTCGCAATAAAATGCAAACTAAAGAGTTATTGGAGTAAATGATGTTTTATTGAACGTCTGAACGGGAATTGAGTTAAATTACGAAAATGTACTTAAGGAGTTTTATTGGGTTTAGGTGGATTTAATAAGGTCAGTAAATGAATGAAAATAAAGAAGTACATATTACTAATAAAAACCAAACAAAATTCTCATATACGAACCAAATACGTATTCATTTTCCCACCGATTTGGTTAATTATAATTAGTGTTCTTGTAGAAAAATAAAATAAATGACATAACATAATTGTCTCCGACAACCTTTCTTATCTTTGTGGTTTTACGCATAATGTTGTCATTATTTCGTAGTTGAGCGATTTTTTAGCGTAATTTTTATCTAGACCCGTCGCGTCTGGCCTTTATGACAACCCTGTCTGCTCCAGATCATGCATAACCATCACCCCATCGCCTGTTATCACCCAAAAGCCATAATTTTTTATCACCGTTTCCTTAACGATCGCTTAATTTATTTCGGAGCCGCTTGCTCTGGCTTTTCACCATCTAAATCTTATCTAAACTTGTCACCCCACACATGTCTGAGTGTATTCGCTAACTCTTGCGTCTGCCTCCCTGAAAACATGCTCGACTTCAGTCAAATTCCGCCGTTCCACGTGTTTACACTTAGCTCTAAACGAGAGGAACGATGTAACGAGTGACTGCGCGAAATATCGGGATTCGCGTGTTTGTTTATTCCGAATCAAAACTAAACAATAGTGGTCGATGTGATGCACTGATTTGTTCGGCAACATGAAACTGTGGAAAGTACTTGCGAGAAATAGCCACATTTACAACAGTCGGGAAAAAGAACAACACTTGATGGAGTTACACGGTTAGTTTTATTCTTTATTACAAACTATTTAAGTGCGTCTTGATGCGTTTTTGCCTCGTCACTAGAAGGACATTCGAAGTGCAGCAGATGGAAATCCTGCACAAACAAAATTAATTATAAGTGACAGTTTGAGAAACACACTACAAACATTATTAGCGGTGTTGGAGGTTCCCGTTATTCTTATAAAAACGACGGCTCTTTCGGAAAAACGTAAAACTTGCCAGGATTTACTTTCTTGGTTTCTGTGATCTGCAACTATGGTCCATTCGGTTTTATTTACAGAAGTCTCGACGTAGTATTTGTAAGTTCGAGTGTCTTGGTCCCATAGTAGAAGTTTCATGCTTGAGAGGATATAGGGTTGGGCTACAAATTGTTGATATAGTTGGGAATGTAGACTACGGTGGGTCGGACTAAAAATTACTTACCTAGCTGAACTACGATACTTCCCGAACCTATTCCATGTCGGGTGTAATTATTATAATTGGCTGTAACCCCGTCTAGTAAAGCTCCACCATTTATCCTGCATGATAGCTTTTTATTTTGGTTAAAAAAATACTTACTTACCCCTCAATAACAGCAGCGCCTTTGTCTGCAGTAGCTACGTTAGTTATGGGTCGGACTACGCCGTTTAAAATTTTGGGAACATTTTGTTTGAAATAAGCTTCAAAATAAATGAGATGAAAATCCTAAAAATGTCAAGAGAAACGCTTCTAGTGCCAATTAAACTTAATATTTACATTGTTTGCAGTATTGTGTGTCCCAATGATTCTGACAAACTGGACCACATGGTCCAAAAAATATAAATTTTGGATTGATCGACATGCACACAGTTCATAATTAATGACCTTCTCCCAGTGCTTTTGGTCCTTTGAAACTTCCACGTAATATCGATAGAATCTACATAATTGGTTTTAAATTACTCATTCTAATAGAAATAAGTGATTTTACCTGAAGTCGTTATCCCACAACCGCATATTAATATGGTTAATCAAAACCGGAAAACCGAATTTAATAGTAAATCCATCTTTATTGCCAACAGTGCACTTGGAGTATTTATTTACGTCTCGATTTCCATTTAACAGATAACTAGTATTTTCACCTGTAATCACCGTAGCTTTGTGGTCAACCGTGGCAACATTTACATCCACCACTTAAAAACAATTAATGACATCAAATAGACATTAAATTTAAAATAAAATACCTAGTTTTGCTCTACAGTTCGACACTTTCGGTTTAACATCCACAATTTCGGCGATAGCTTGTAGTAAATCTTCACAATCGACAAGTTTCGAAGGCCACACTGTAGATACTATATCTACAACACTCAACCAAGATAGTCGAACACATTTCACTACTAAACCAGACGTGTTGTTATTATTTCGAGACCACTGGGCCACACTTTTAAAAATGTCAATTTCGGGAGCAAAAAACGTGTCTCTTTCCAACAATTTAATTAAGGATTTCTGTAAAATACAGATCAGTTTTTTCAAAATGACATCATTCGGGTTTTACTTCACTCAAGTCCTTGAAACAATCATTGTCGATGATCTCTGAAGCGTGTTGGTCCATGAAGGAGTGGCAAGCGTCACGAAGTTCGGTCAATTCGTACAAATTCGCAACGTTCAAAACGGAACAAATGTTTTTGAGATTTAGAATGGACTTTATTTTGTTTCCTACAGCAAGTTCTAAGTCGGTGAGGGAGCACTGATGAGCTAAACTGATGAGTTCTAAAGTGGGGTCCAAGTCTGAAGGAGTTATCGTGATGCTACCTGAAACACGATTTTGAATTTTTGGAAAAAGTAAAACTATTTAAGAGTGACCTGTGTAGAGAAATTTGAGAACGTTTCGGAAGGCGGCGGGGGAAGTGTCTAACGACATTTCAAGTTCGGGCTGAAATTAAAATTTTTAAACCTACGCTACGTTTACGAAATTTTACCTGTTCTATTTCTTTTCCGTCGTCATAGAGGAGCCCTTCAAAGTACTCACTTCGTGCAGCCAGAATAACCTAAAAAAAATTGACATCGTTAACGCAGTCGTAACAAAAATGTTTCAAAATTTTTATCACCTTGTGAGCAAAGATTTTTTCACTGCCAACAGTTAAAGTGATATCTGAGAATTTTTCGCTCAAGTAAAGCGCTGAAATGTCTTTGATCAACTTTGTGGTATCGTTGACAACGACAGGGTCTGTTGCAGGGTTGACCATCTTGAGTGTGAACCCAGAAAGAGTCAGACTTCGTATGAAAAGGTGTTAAGGTCATATTTACAAGTTCAATTTATACTACGAGACGAGTCAGGAAATGTCTAACCAACATCCTTTTTCGCCGATTTATCAGTCTTGTGGTAGTTTGGTTGATGCGTTAAATATGTAGTAATAATGCGGTTTGCGAATAATGTTATAAATCTACATCCGAAATTTGTTAAAAGTGATGAAATATAGATTTTTATTCGTCGATGATAGGATATTCAACAAGGAAGAGGTGAATTAAAATTGTACAATTAACATGCTTATTAACTGAAATTTCAACTACATATTTTGTTTTTATGAGAATTTTTTGCTAGGGGAGACCTAATAAATTAGACTAATTTTTTGTGATAATTTTTCGTTCATTGTAATTTTATTGGCTGTAGTACTTTCTTGATTCTATACTGTCACTTCTGAAAATTAGTCAAGAAATTTTATCTTGTGAGCTATCGTTTTTTCGTAGTAGGTCTAACAGGATAAAGAAATATCTCGAGGTACCATATGATCGAAAAAAAACTTGTCAAGTATGCTTTGAAATTCATGTTTTTTAAACTGGTATTTCCAGCTTTGGCGATTTCTGCCATTTTCATGAGAAATGTCACGTTTATATTTGAGGCTATATAAATCAATGCTAACTACAATTCATGTGTTTTTTATTCAATTGTTTCTTTTAATTATTTTTTTTTATTACCTTTTTCGCATTGTTGATGTGACTGTTTTTGTTAGAAAGAGCAGAAATTTTGAAATTTTAGAACACTACAAATTATTTAAATACATTTCTTTTTTATAAATGTTTTTATTGAATAATATTACCAAATTCATGCTAACAACTGTAGCATAAAATATAAAATAATGTAAAACCGCACCATAAAACATTAAATTATTTACATGATCAGAAGTGTTTCGCCTCTGGTATGGTTGACATACTGAGTTACCGTGCTCTTTTGCCTTATTTCTAATTTCTTAACCCTGCTCCTGAAGATGCCACTTACGAAAGTGTGCGAAACGTTGAGCCCAAAACTCAATTAACACGGTCCCAACCCGGAACACGATCATGTATTTCCGACCGTGAAAGCCTCCGATATTATTTCAAAATTATTTGTTACTTCCCGAGCTTAAGCCAAGGAAGTATAGTAATCGAGTCCATCGGATGAATGGCTACTTTTATATTTTCTCGACGTTTCATGACTTCTAGAGTACGAAAAAAGTAGTCTCTGGTTTCTCTCTGTCTGCCTGTCTGGTGTCTGTATCTGTTTTCATTAGACACGTATTCTCTGAAACTGCTGGATCGATTGTTGTCAATTTTGTATGTATATTAGAAATATCATGTAGATGGTTAGTTAAATGCTAACCAAAATTTGGCCAATCATCCCCACCAACAATTTGATGACGTCATGTTTATTTGATTTAACTCTTATAGAACAATATAGTCCTATAAGTGTGGTGTACGAGTCCACTTTTAGTTTTTCCCTAATCGTCCAAATTTTTGCAAAAACATTATGCAGAGTTGAAGCGGGCTTTTTACAGTGTAGAAGAATATTGAAATGCAGATATATTTAAAAGTGTTAAATATATGCCGTGTTATCATATATTCTCCTTCTCTTTAGAATGTGAATCTAGGATATGTGCGTTTCTTTTTTACTAAATGTGTTTACTATATTCAATAGATTGGCATCTAAGATGTGTACCTATGTATTTAAATATGCATATATAATAGGTTATGTTTATATTGACGAGTGTAAGCGCTTTGCGCAATTAACACAAATAAATTACTATTACTATTACTCGGGAGCGCCAAATGTCTTTTTTTTAAGAATGTGAAACCTTCCTGGAGGTCCCAACTGTTTTTTTTTAATGTAAAACCTTCTCGGGGGCTCCAAATGTATTTTTTTTAGAATATGAAACTTTCTCAGACGTTCCAATTGCTTTTTTAAAAATGTAAACTTTCTCGGGGGCGCCAAATGTTTTTTTTAAGAATGTGAAACCTTCCTGGGGCCCCAACTGTCTTTTCTTTGAAATGTAGAACCTTCTCGGGGGCGCCAAATGTCTTTTTTTTTAATGTGATACCTTCTCGGAGGTCCCAACTGTTTTTTTTTAAGTAAAACCTTCTCCGGAGCCTCAAATGTATTTTTTTTTAAATATGAAACTTTCTTGGGGATCCCAGTTGTCTTTTTTAATGTAAAAGCTTCTCCAGGGTACCAAAAGTCTTTTTTTTATGCGACCTTCTCGGAGGTCCAACAGTTTTTTTAATGTAAAACCTTCTCGGAGATCTCAGTTGTCTTTTTTAATGTAAAAGTTTCTCCGGGGTACCAAATGTCTTTTTTTTAATGTGGAACCTTCTCGGAGGGTTCAACTGTTTTTTTTTTAATGTAAAACCTTCTCGAGGGCTCCAAACGTATTTTTTTAACAATATGAAACTTTCTCGGGGGGGCCCAATTGTCCTTTTTAAAAATGTAAAACCTTCTCGGGAGGGCCAAATGTATTTTTTTTAGAATATGAAACCTTCTCATACGTCCCAATTGTCTTTTTTAAAAATGTAAAACTTTCTCGGGGGCGCCAAATGTTTTTTTAAGAATATGAAACCTTCCCGGGGAGGCCAACTGTCTTTTATTTAAAATGTAGAACCTTCTCGGGGGCGCCAAATGTCTTTTTTTTTAATGTGATACCTTCTCGGAGGTCCCAACTGTTTTTTTTTAAGTAAAACCTTCTCCGGAGCCTCAAATGTATTTTTTTTTTAATATGAAACTTTCTTGGGGATCCCAGTTGTCTTTTTTAATGTAAAAGCTTCTCCAGGGTACCAAAAGTCTTTTTTTTATGCGACCTTCTCGGAGGTCCAACAGTTTTTTTAATGTAAAACCTTCTCGGAGATCTCAGTTGTCTTTTTTAATGTAAAAGTTTCTCCGGGGTACCAAATGTCTTTTTTTTAATGTGGAACCTTCTCGGAGGGTTCAACTGTTTTTTTTTTAATGTAAAACCTTCTCGAGGGCTCCAAACGTATTTTTTTAACAATATGAAACTTTCTCGGGGGGGCCCAATTGTCCTTTTTAAAAATGTAAAACCTTCTCGGGAGGGCCAAATGTATTTTTTTTAGAATATGAAACCTTCTCATACGTCCCAATTGTCTTTTTTAAAAATGTAAAACTTTCTCGGGGGCGCCAAATGTTTTTTTAAGAATATGAAACCTTCCCGGGGAGGCCAACTGTCTTTTATTTAAAATGTAGAACCTTCTCGGGGGCGCCAAATGTCTTTTTTTTTAATGTGATACCTTCTCGGAGGTCCCAACTGTTTTTTTTTAAGTAAAACCTTCTCCGGAGCCTCAAATGTATTTTTTTTTAAATATGAAACTTTCTTGGGGATCCCAGTTGTCTTTTTTAATGTAAAAGCTTCTCCAGGGTACCAAAAGTCTTTTTTTTATGTGACCTTCTCGGAGGTCCAACAGTTTTTTTAATGTAAAACCTTCTCGGAGATCTCAGTTGTCTTTTTTAATGTAAAAGTTTCACCGGGGTACCAAATGTCTTTTTTTTAATGTGGAACCTTCTCGGAGGGTTCAACTGTTTTTTTTTTAATGTAAAACCTTCTCGGGGGGGGGGGGGGCAAATGTATTTTTTTTAGAATATGAAACCTTCACATACGTCCCAATTGTCTTTTTTAAAAATGTAAAACTTTCACGGGGGCGCCAAATGTTTTTTTAAGAATATGAAACCTTTCCGGGGAGGCCAACTGTCTTTTATTTAAAATGTAGAACCTTCTCGGGGGCGCCAAATGTCTTTTTTTTAATGTGATACTTTCACGGAGGTCCCAACTGTTTTTTTTTAATGTAAAACCTCGGGAGCCTCAAATATATATTTTTTTAAATATGAAACCTTATCGGGGATCCCAATTGTCTTTTTTAATGTAAAAGCTTCTCTGGGGTGCCAAATGTCTTTTTTTTAATGTGGAACCTTCTCGGAGAGCTCAACTGTTTTTGTTTAATGTAAAACCTTCTCGGAGACGCAAATGTATTTTTTTAATGTGAAACCTTCCGGAACTCTCAACTGTTTTTTTTTTAAATGTAAAACTTTCTCGAGGGCCCCAAATGTATTTTTTTAAGAATATGAAACTTTCTGAGGGGGGTCCCAATTGTTTTTTTTTAAATGTAAAACCTTCTTCTGGGCGCCAAATGTCTTTTTTTATTGTAAAACCTTCTCGGGGGCCCCAAATGTATTTTTTTAGGATATGAAACCTTTTCAGAGGTCCCAATTGTCGTTTTTAAAAATGTAAAACTTTCTCAGGGGTGCCAAATGTTTTTTTAAGAATGTGAAACCTTCTTGGGGGTCCCAACTGTCTTTTCTTTAAAATGTAGAACCTTCTCGGGGGCGCCAAATGTCTTTTTTTTAATGTGATACCGGGAATCCCAACTATCTTTTTTAATGTAAAAGCTTCTCCGGGGTACCAAATGTCTTTTTTTTTTAATGTGGAACATTCTCGGAGGGCTCAACTGTTTTTTTTAATGTAAAACCTTCTCGGAGGCCCCAAATGTATTTTTTTAATGTGAAAACTTCTCGGAGGTCCCAACTGTTTTTTTTAATGTAAAACCTTCTCGAGGGCCCCAAATGTATTTTTTTAAGAATATGAAACCTTCTCGGTGTTCCCGATTGTCTTTTTTAAAAATGTAAAACCTTCTCGGGGACGCCAAATGTAATTTTTTTATTGTAAAACCTTCTAAAGGGCACCAAATGTATTTTTTGAAGTATAAGGCTCTTTCTTGGGGGTCTCAATTGTCTTTTTTTTTAAATATAAAACTTTCTCGGGGTGCCAAATGTTTTTTTTAGAATGTGAAACCTTCGTGGAAGTACCAACTGTCTTTTTTAAAAATGCCTTCTCGGAGGTCCCAACTGTTTTTTTTTAATGTAAAACCTTCTCGAGGGCCCCAAATGTATTTTTTTAAGAATATGAAACCTTCTCGGGGGTCTCAATTGTCTTTTTTAAAAATGTAAAACCTTCTCGGGGGCGCCAAACGTCATTTTTTTATTGTAAAACCTTCTAAGGACCCCAAATGTATTTTTTGAAGAATAAGGATCTTTCTTGGGGGTCTCAATTGTCTTTTTTAAAAATATAAAACCTTCTCGGGGCCCCAAATATATTTTTTTTAGAATATGAATCCGTCTCAGAGGTCCCAATTGTCGTTTTTAAAAATCTAAAACTTTCTCAGGGGTGCCAAATTTTTTTTTGAAGAATGTGAAACTTTCCCGGAGTCCCAACTGTCTTTTCTTTAAAATGTAGAACCTTCTTGGGGGCGCCAAATGTCTTTTTTTTAATGTGATACTTTCTCGGTGGTCCCAACAGTTTTTTTTTATGTAAAACCTTCTCGGGAGTCTCAAATGTATTTTTTTTTAATATGAAACCTTCTTGGGGATCCCAATTGTCTTTTTTAATGTAAAAGCTTCTCCGGGGTACCAAATGTCTTTTTTTATACGGCCTTCTCGGAGGTCCCAACTGTTTTTTTAATGTAAAACCTTCTCGGGACTCTCAAATGTATTTTTTTTTAATATGAAACCTTATCGGGAATCCCAACTATCTTTTTTAATGTAAAAGCTTCTCCGGGGTACCAAATGTCTTTTTTTTTTTAATGTGGAACATTCTCGGAGAGCTCAACTGTTTTTTTTAATGTAAAACCTTCTCGAGGGCCCCAAATGTATTTTTTTAAGAATATGAAACCTTCTCGGGGGTCTCAATTGTCTTTTTTAAAAATGTAAAACCTTCTCGGGGGCGCCAAACATCATTTTTTTATTGTAAAACCTTCTAAGGACCCCAAATGTATTTTTTGAAGAATTAGGATCTTTCTTGGGGGTCCCAATTGTCTTTTTTAAAAATATAAAACCTTCTCGGGGCGCCAAATGCTTTTTTTAGAATGTGAAACCTTATTGGGGGTACCAACTGTCTTTTTTAAAAATGTAAAACATTCTCGGGGGCCCCAAATGTCTGTCTTTTTAATTTGAAACCTTCTCGCGGGTCCCAACTGTCTTTTTTAAAAATGTAAAACGTACTCGGGGGCGCCAAAATGTCTTTTTTTAAGAATGTGAAACCTTCTTAGGGGTTCCAACTGTTCGTTTTTAAAGAAGACGCAAACTTCTCAGGGGCCCCAAGTATCTTTTTTTAAGAAGCTGAAACCTTATTTTTTTCTACTACACTGTGACTAGTACCTTCTATATTGTTTTTATTCTATAGAGGTTATCACGAAACTCCGCAAAATCAAATTTTATCATTTTTCAGAGAAGTTTTGTCGAAATAACTTTCGACCAATTTTTTTAATCTGTATTCAAAATTTTGAGGTTACGATGTTGAAATATTCGTTATCTTCCAGTCGAACTATCTTTAAACCTAAAAATTCCTAAAGAAACTGACTCAAATAACGAATACTTGCTAATTTACGGAAAAAATTATATTTTAACTCCTTATTGAATTAAAACTGTTAAATATTTATAACAATAAAAAAACATAAAAAAATGTTTTGAAACAAAAAAAAAACAATCAATTTAATAACAAACGGCTTTATAACATCTCGAACTCTGTCATATACTCTAAGAACCGGTGTATTAGTATATCAAAAGTGAAAACATCGTCTAGTAGGCTATGAAATTTGTTGTTCAAATAATGATGTTGCTGCTTTTTGACAGTTTGTTTGACAGTTAGTTGTCCGCAAAGGGACTTTGATTTGACTGCAACTGTCAAACCGAACAAGGAATTATGGTTTGCCAACATAATTTTTCAAACGTTAAATTTCAAATGTTGGTAGACAAGTTCTTTTCTCGATCATCATGGTACTTCGACATTTAAAATGAACTAAAAAAACTTTTTTTAAAATACAAATTCTACATTTCCCATTAAAGAACTCTAATGACTAACTCTTACACTAAAAGCACCTCATAAATAAACATGTCTCACCCATTTAAACAACAAGTGATTTGTAATTTCACATATTCTACAAATTCTTATGTAGGAAAATTCTTTCATATATTTTTTTAACAGAATGAATCCACTTACAGAAAAAACTGAAATTAGTTTTAGTTTTGCATTGTGCCTATGCATTAATATATGTTTGAAATCACATTTGTACAGACACAGTTAAATAAGATTGACGAAAACTGTGGAGTGTACTTTTAGAAATAGCCACATTACAACAATCGGGAAAAAGAACAAATAACAGAGTTACAGGGTTAGTTTTTATTCTTGTTATTTTTACAAAGTATTTAAATGCGTTTTAGTATGTTTTTGCCTCCTCGCTAGCAGGACACTCAAAGTGCAGCAGATGGAATTCCTGCACAAACAAAATTAATTACAAGCGACAGTTTGAAAAACACACTACAAACACTGTTAGCGCTGTTCGAGGTTCCCGTTATTCTTATAAAAACGACGGGTCTTTCGGAAAAACGTAAAACTTGCCAGGATTTACTTTCTTCGTTTCTGTGATCTGCAACTATGGTCCATTCGCTTTTATTGACAGAAGTTTCGACGTAGTATTTGTAGGTTCGAGTGTCTTGGTCCCATAGTAGAAGTTTCATGCTTGAGATTATATAGGGTTGACCTACAAATTGTTGATATAGTTGAAAATGTAGACTTCGGTGGGTTGAAGTGAAAAGTCACTCACCTAGCTGGACTACGATACCTCCCGAACCTATTCCGTGTTTAGCATAATTACTATAATTGGCTGTAACACCGTCCAGTAAAGCTCCACCATTTGTTCTACATTATAACATTTTATTGTGGTTTCAAAAAAGACTTACTTACCCCTCAATAACAACCGCGCTTTTGGCTGTAGTAGCTACGTTAGTTGTGGGTCGGATTATGCCGTTTAAAATTTTGGGAACGTTTCGCTTAAAATAAGCCTCAAAAAAAACGAGATGGAAACCCTAAAAATATCAAGATAAACACTTCCGGTGCCATTTAAACGTAATATTTACAGGCTCAGCAGTGTCGCGAGTCCCAACGAGTCTGACAAACTGTACTACACGGTCCTCAAAATACAAATTTTGGAATGATCGGCATGAATACTCTTGATAATCAATAACTTTCTCCCAGTGCTTTTGGTCCGTTGATACTTCCACGTAATATTGATAGAATCTGCGTAAGTGGTTTAAATAATTCATTCAAGTACACATAGGTGATTTTACCTAAAGTCCTTATCCCACAACTGCGTACTGATATGGTTAATCAAAACCGGAGTACCAAATTTAATAGTAAATCCATCTTTATCGCCTAGAGTCGACGTTGAGTATCTATTTACGTCTCTATTTCCAGCCAATAGATAAGTGGAGTAGCCTGTAAGTACTTTAGCATTGTATTCAGCCGTGGCAACATTTATATCCACCACTTAAAAAAAATGTTAATCATAACCAGATAAAACATTTTATAATTAAAATTATATACTTAGTTTTGCCCTGCAGCTCGACGTTTTGGGTTTAACTTCCACAATTTCGGCGATAGCTTGAAGCAAATCTTCACAAGCGACAAGTTTCAAAGGCCACACTATCGATACAATTTCTACGACACTCAACCAAGATAGTCGAACACATTTCACTACTAAACCAGAAATGTAGTTATTACTTCGACACCATTGGGCTACACCTTTAAAAATGTCAATTTCAGGAGCAAAAAACGTGTCTCTTTCCAACAATTTAATCAAGGATTTCTGTAAAATACATGTCAATATATTGAAAAACGCGTCATTTTGGTTTTACTTGACTCAAATTGTTGAAACAATCATCGTTGAGGATTTCTGAAGCATGTTGGTCCATGAATGAGTGACAAGCATCTCGGAGTTCAGTCAATTCATATAAATTCGCAGTATTCAAAACCGTACAAATGTTTTTGAGGTTTAGATTGGATTTTATTTTGTTACCTGCAGCAACTTCTAAGTCGGTGAGCGAGAACTGGTGCGCCAATCCGATGAGTTCTAAAATAGAGTCCAAGTCGGAAGAGGTTATCGTGATGCTACCTGAAACAATGTTTGATTTTTTGGAAAAAAAAAAAACTAATAGCAACCTGTGTAGAGGAATCTGAGGACGTTTCGCAAGGCGGCGGGAGTAGTATCCAGCGTTATTTCAAGTTCTGACTAGAATTAAAATTTTTACACTTACGTTACTTGGTTTAGGAGTTTTACCTGATCTGTTCCTCTTCCGTCTTCATAGAGGAGTCCTTCAAAGTACTCACTTCGTGCAGCAAGAATAACCTGAAACGTTTTGTCCACTTTGGAGCACCAATGTCGTAACAAAACTCTCCCTTACCTTGTGAGCAAAGATTTTTTCCTTGCCAACAATTAAAGTGATATCTGAGAATTTTTCGCTCAAGTAAAGTTCTGCAATATCTTTGACCAACTTTGTGGTATCGTTGACAGTCACAGGATCTGTTGCAGAGTTAACCATTTTGAATGTGAACCCAGAACGAGTAATTTGACTTTATTTACGAAACTGGTGAAGGTCGTAGTCACAAGTCCAATTTATAGCACAAGACGAATCAGGAAATGCGAAACCAACATCCTTTGTCATCACTTTTATCAGTCTTGTGGTAGTTTGGCCACTGCGTTAAAAAAATTTAAAGCAAATTTCGTCTGCGGACTGTGTAATATATCTACATCCAAAATTTGCTGAAAGTGGTCCGGTAACGGCTGAGCGTTTTGCATTTGTACTAGTAGCTTTTGAAATCGTCAATAGTTGGATATTCAAGATGAAATTACTTTAAAATTAAAAAAAACAGCAACGTGTCTTGTCATATCAAGATGTAAGGTATGCCAAAATGTATACTATCACTGTGGAATTAATAAGTTATTTAGCTCAAATTTCAACTAAATATTTGTTTTTTTGTGGAGACTGCGCTAGGGGAGATCTGACAAACTAAACTGGTGTAAGTATTAGGTATATGTATTAATTCATTATTCTTTTTATTTCATTCATTACACGAAAAATCTCGGTATAAAGTTCTTCATTTGTAGGTTTTTCCTTCATCACTGGCTGGACATTCAAAATGTAGCAAGTGTAGATACTGAACAATAAGTAACAACAAATATAAAAAGCAACATTATTATTAGTATGTAACGTACATTTCCAGCTTCAGCGGAAGCTCCCGTCCCGGTCATTCTTACATAGACAACAGGTCTTTCAGAAAAACGAATTATTTGCCAAGATTTGTTTTCTTCATTTCGATGGTCAGCTATCATGATCCATTCAGACTTATTGATTGAAACTTCTACATAATATTTATAGAAGCGACCGTCTTTATCCCACAATAAAAATTTCATGCTAGGGAGCATAAATGGTTGTGCTACAACGAATATGAAACGTGTTGAGTTATCTTAACTTACTTTGTGGGTATGAATGCGTTAAGGAATACCTTGGTTTGTTATGAAGAAAGGTATTAGTATTTAATTTTGAAACTCACCTAATTGGACTACTATACCTCCAGAACCGACAGCGTGGTAAGTAAAATTATTATAATTGGAAGTTATTCCATCGAGAAGAGCAGCTCCATTAACTCTGTTATAAAACATTTTTAAGTTAATTAAATATATATTTTTAAATTAAAACTTTGTAATAAATATGAAACAATACAAACCCATCCACAACTGTTGCTTTTTTATCTACTGTAGCAACATTTGTTGTGGGGCAAACAATGGCGTTTACAATTCTTGGTATAGTGTCTTTCAAATAAGCTTCAAAAAATACAAGATGAAATTCCTAGAAGTTTAAATTTTAGAACAATTTTTATCACCACAGAACGATTTTACAGGATGTCTACTGTTATGTGTACCAACAACTCTGATATACTGTGCTATCACTTTTTCGAAATAAAGATTCTGGACTGAGCGACATGCATATTGTCTGTAATCTATCACTTTCTTCCAGTTTTTCTGATCAGTTGAGACTTCGATATAGTATTGATAAAATCTGTGCAGTTGTGTACTGTTAACTCTTTTCTTGAATTTACTTACAATTCTTACCTCACTTCACCATCCCACAACATCATATGAATGTGATTAATAACGAAAGCGTGGCCGATTTAATCGTTATTCCATTCTTTTCACTGGGGTTAATGTCATGGTCTGCGTGTAAACCGATATTTCTATTGCCAGCCAACAATTCCGTGATGTTTCTTCGTCCAGTTATTACCACAGCTTTATGTTCGGAGGTCGCAAGATTGACACCACTCACTACAAATTTCAATAAAAATTTTGAATCCAAATATAACGTGACCACTCTTACATAACTGTGCTCTGCATTTGTATTTTCTCGGTTTGACATCTACAACTTCTGCAATTGCTTGAAGTAAATCTTCACAGTCTACAAGTTTTGAAGGCCACACTGTGGACACAATTTCTGTAACACTCAGCCAAGATAACCGGACACATTTGACCACCAAACCAGCTACATCATTATTTTTTTGACACCATCGAGCTACACTTTTAAAAATTTCTAGTTCGGGAGCAAAAAACGTGTCTCTTCCCAACACCGTTATTAAAGATTTCTGCAAAAAATTTATGAATATTTAGAAAGTCAGTTATTTTGGTTTTACTTGACTCAAGCCCTCGAAACAATTGTCGATAATTTCGGAAGCGTGTTGGTCCGCAAAAGAATGACAGCCATCGCGAAGGTGCACCAAGTCGTACAAATTGGCCGTATTAAGGATCGAGTAAATGTTCTTGAGGCTGAGTGAAGATTTTATTTTATTTCCTAGAGCGTATTCTAAATCAGTGACTGTACACTGATGAGCTAAATTGATCAGGTCTAGACTGACGTCTAAGTCTGACGGGCTTATGGTGATGCTACCTGGAAAAACAATAAATTAATAAATTTTTGAAAACTTTTTCGTTCGAGGTACCTGTGTAAAGAAATTTAAGAACATTTCGGAAGGCATCAGGTGAAGCGTCTAGAGATATTGTCAGTTCTGACTAAAAATAGAAGCATGTTTTAGCAAGTTAGTGTTTTTTTAATGTAACGTACTTGTTCTATTTCATTTCCTCCATCGTAAAGAAGGCCTTCAAAGTATGAGCTTCGTGCAGCAAGGATGACCTAAGTGATTTTGTTACAGTTGAAATTCTTTCAATTTGAAACCATTTGTTGAAATTAGACTATATATTTAAAAAAATATTTTTACCTTATGAGCAAAGAATCTTTCGTTGTCGACAATTAAAGTGACGTCCGAAAATGTTTCACTCAAAAAAAGTGATGAAATGTCTTTCACCAGCTTGGTGGTATCGTGAATTGTAATAGTATTTCCTTCTGGGTTAACCATTTTAACAACCACACAATTAGGTTAAAGGGAATCAAACAAAAACACTAAAAAGTATCGAATTTTTCGATGTTTTTATACTTTCTATACAGGAAATCTGTAATCAACATCCGTCAAAACATTCTGTTTTTATTTGTAGTTTAATCTTTTGTGCGGAAACATTATCATATATACCTAGTGTAGATAAAAAGAAAACCTGAGTAATTTTGTCCATCTGTGAGCACCAATGTCGTGATAAAAATCTACTTTATTTTATAACCAAAGATTTGTTCCATGCCAACAGTTAAAGTGACATCTGACTATTTTTCAGTCAAGTAAAGTTCTGAAATATGTTTGACTAAATTTGTGGTATCGTTGACAGTCACAGGATCTGTTGCAGAGTTAACCATTTTGGATGTGAACTCAGAACAAGTTAGACTTTGTTTAAGAGACTGTTAAAAGTCATAAAAACAAGTGAATTTTTAGCTTAACTGTAAAACCGAGTTTGATTGCCAATCAAATTTTAGATTTTACTTGATTTAAGTTCTGGAAATAATCATTGCTGAAGTTCAACCATAATGTAGAAACCTTCATTATTTTAAATTTATTCTACTCTGTCTTCGAACAAGAAATAAATTTGAGTCGGCGCTGTTTGTAAAGCTTTGGGTGGTATTGCTGCCTTCAGTTTGACGTAAATTAATGTAAACATAATTTCAATCAAGTCACAAGCATAGATATAATATGAATACATGAATAGAGGCTGCACATTGGTAGACCTGTCAGTTGACAGAATGATGTGTACCAACTGCCAGTTATGTATCTACGTCTAACAATGATAAAACTGGTCTCACAGCCAACTGTAATTCGTTTTATTTTCCATCGCACAAAAGAAAAGGTTAAATCATTTAATGAAATATGTTTTAACTCATTATTCTTTTTATTTCATTCATTACACGAAAAATGTCGGTATAAAGTTCTTCACTTATAGGTTTTTCCGTCATCACTGGCTGGACATTCGAAATGCAGCAAGTGTAGATACTGGACAATAAATAACAACAAATATAAAAAGCAACATAATCAACAGTATGTAACGTACATTTCCAGCTTCAGCGGAAGCTCCGGTCCCGGTCATTCTTACGTAGACAACAGGTCTTTCAGAAAAACGAATTATTTGCCAAGATTTGTTTTCTTCATTTCGGTGGTCAGCTATCATGCTCCATTCAGACTTATTGATTGAGATTTCTACATAATATTTATAGAAACGGCTGTCTTTATTCCACAATAAAAATTTCATGCTGGAGAGCATAAATGGTTGTGCTAAAATGAATATGATACGTGTTGGGTTATCTTAACTTACTTCGTGTGTATGTAGTACGTTAAAGAGTACCTTCATTTTTTATGAAGAGAGGTATTAATATTTAATTTGGAAACTCACCTAATTGGACTACTATACTTCCAGAACCGACAGCGTGGTAAGTATAATTATTATAATTGGAAGTTATTCCATCGAGAAGAGCAGCTCCATTAACTCTGTTAGAAAATACTTTTAAGTTCATTAAATCTATATTTTTTAAATTAAAACTTTTTAATAAATTTAAAACAATACAAACCCCTCCACGACCGTTGCTTTCTTGTCTACTGTAGCAACATTTGTTGTAGGGCAGACAATGCCGTTTACAATTCTTGGTATGTTATCTTTGAAATAAGCTTCAAAAAATACAAGATGAAATTCCTAGAACTTTAAATTTTAGAATAATTTTCATCACCACAAAACGACTTTACAGGATGTTTACTGTTATGTGTACCAACAACTCTGATATACTGTGCTATCACTTTTTCGAAATAAAGATTCTGGACCGAGCGACATGCATATTGTCTGTAATCTATCACTTTCTTCCAGTTTTTCTGATCAGTTGAGACTTCGATATAGTATTGATAAAATCTGCCCAGTTGTGTATTGTTAGCTGTTTTCTTAGATTCACTTACAATTCTTACCTCACTTCACCATCCCACAACATCATATGAATGTGATTAATAACGAAAGCGTGGCCGAATTTAATCGTTATTCCATTCTTTTCACTCGGATTAATATCATGGTCTGCATGTGAACCGATATTTCTATTGCCAGCCAACAATTCCGTGATGTTTCTTCGCCCAGTTATTACCACAGCTTTATGTTCAGAAGTCGCAAGATTGACACCACTCACTATAAATTTCAATAAAAATTTTAAATCTAAAATTAACGTGACCACCCTTACATAACTTTGCTCTGCAATTGTATTCTCTCGGTTTGACATCTACAACTTCTGTAATCGCTTGAAGTAAATTTTCACAGTCTACAAGTTTTGAAGGCCACACTATGGACACAATTTCTACAACACTCAGCCAAGATAACCGGACACAGCTGACCACCAAACCAGCTACATCGTTATTTTTTTGACACCATCGAGCTACACTTTTAAAAATTTCTAGTTCGGGAGCAAAAAACGTGTCTCTTTCCACCATCTTTATTAAAGATTTCTGCAAAAAATTTATGAATACTACCAAAGTCAGTTATTCTGGTTTTACTTGACTCAAGCTTTCGAAACAATCGTTGTCGATGATTTCCGTAGCGTGTTCGTCCGCGAAGGAATGACAGGCATCGCGAAGTTCCACCAAGTCGTACAAATTGGCCGTATTAAGGATCGAGCAAATGTTTTTGTGGCTGAGTAAAGATTTTATTTTATTTCCTACAGCGTATTCTAAATCAGTGAGTGAACACTGATGAGCTAAACTGATTAGGTCTAGACTGGGGTCCAAGTCTGAGGGGCTAATGGTGATGCTACCTGGAAAAACAATAAATTAATAAATTTTTGAAATCTTTTTCGTTCGAAGCACCTGTGTAAAGAAATTTAAGAACACTTCGGAAGGTATCAGGTGGAGCGTCTAGAGAAATTGCCAGTTCTGACTAAAAATATAAACATGAAACATGTTTTAGCCAGTTAGTGTTTTTTTAGTGTGACGTACTTGGTCTATTTCATTTCCTCCATCGTAAAGAAGGCCTTCAAAATATGAGCTTCGTGCAGCGAGGATGACCTAAGTGATTTTGTTACAGTTGAATTTTTTTCAAGGTAAAACCATTTGTTGAAAGTAAACTATTTAAAAAATATGTTTACCTTATGAGCAAAGATTCTTTCGTTGTCGACAATTAAAATGACGTCTGAAAATGTTTCACTCAAAAAAAGTGATGAAATGTCTTTCACCAGCTTGATGGTATCGTGAATTGTAATAGAATTTCCTTCTGGGTTAACCATTTTAATAACCACACAGTTAGCTTGAAAGAAATCAAACAAAAACACTAAAAAGTATCGAATTTTTCGATGCTTTTATACTTTCTATACAGGAAACCTGTAATCAACATCCGTCAAAACATTCTGTTTTTATTTGTAGTTTAATCTTTTGTACGGAAACAATATCATATATACCTAGTGTAGTTAAAAAGAAAACCTGAAAAATTTTATCCACTTTTGAGCATCAATGTCGTAAAAAAATCTACCTTACTTTGTAAGCCAAGATTTTTTCCATACCAGCAGTTAAAGTGATATCTGGCAATTTTTCGGTCAAGTAAACTTCTGAAATATATTTGATCAACTCTGTAGTATCGTTGACAGTCACAGGATCTGTTGCAGAGTTAAACACTTTGGATGTGGATCCAAAACGAGTTAGACTTCAGTCCTAGTCATAAGTGCAGTTTATAATAGTAATAATATTAATAGGTTTATTGTGCAAAGAAATATAATATATTTTAGCACGCGTTCATTACAATGCTGCTCATATAAATAGAGAACTACATTAATATGTATAATAATTCAGTAAATTGACAACTAAAACAGAATAAACTCCATGTATAATATGTAACTTTAAAACTAACAATTATTCTACATACAAAGGAACTAAATTATCAACTACTTTTCCTCAATAAAATCATGATCCAGAAATACTTCAACTGAATAAAATGCCTTCGTTTTAAGATATGACTTGATTTTCTTTAAAAGCAGTCTTTGTTCTAAAAATTTAAAGCTGCGTGGAAGTTTGTTGAAAAATTTTATACAAAAATGGTTAACTCCGTCTCCTGATTTGGTAAGTCTTAAGGATTTATGTAGTAGGTTATCTGTTCTAGTATAATACAGGTGGTACTGATTTAGCTTTGGATAACATTTAATGTTACAGACGATATATTCAATGTTAAAATTTGTGGGATAAAAAAATTCTCTTTATATGTAGTTTTGTCTAGTTCCAATATTCTAATGGCTCTACGCTGTAGTTTGAATAATCGTTGATTTACAGTGGAATGTCTCCACGCTAAAGTTCCATATTATAAATGACAATGTATTAAAGAATAATACACTCTCTTTAAGTAGCAGTAACAAAGTATTAGCTAAATGACGCAGTAAATAAATATTTTTAGCTATTTTTGAACCAACTTCTTCGCCGTGTTTGTTCCAAGCAAGTTGTAAATCAATGGATAGATACTTAACAAATTGGAAATCTGGTTCAGGTACAGAATTTCTTTTAATGTGAACCTTAGTTCTTGAGATTTATCCTTATTTAAAGTTAATTCGTTCGCAATAAACCAGTCTTCAGCCAGACATTTTTTGTTATCAGTATCTTGCTTAATTAAACCTGTAGTAATTATTATAGTATCGTCCATATACACGGAAACATGTGCATCTCTTAGATATTCAGGTAAATCATTAATGTATATTAAAAATAAAACTGGCCCTAAAATAGAACCTTGAGGAACCCCGTGGGCGATTGTAACACAATCAAATATTAAGGGCAATTCTGAATCAAACTTGTTAAATTTAAAGGATGTTAAATTGCAAATTTCCTTAGCAATCAGTTAAATTCGTAAATCTATTTGGTTATCTATTTTTTAACAACTTTTAAATTGTTACGGGTTTGATTCAGAATTGCCCCTAATTTGTCGTCAATTTTAACATACTGTGTACTATTGATTAAGTAGGATAATACTAATTTTGTGCTAT